TTTCGATTTCTTTTTTTTTCAATTTCCCACCACATGCCCGTATCATTATTGATAAGAACTTCAACAACTGCTCTAATATCTAGTATTCAAAGGCCGATACACGAAAACAAAAAGTGTGTTATTTTATTGATTGGATTTGCTTTTTTGCCACTTCAACAACACATGTACATATGTACATATGTATGTATGTACTTACGAGTACACTTATGTAAATATACATACATACATATGAATTGGATACTCATTAATTTATATGCTTACTTGCTGGTGAAGATGTGTAGGAACGCTTCGAATTGTTCCAACAAATGCTTTAATTAAGTATGTCAAGTTGAGTTTTCGTATTCCAGACGATGCATCAACAGAAAACCAACGCGCGAAATATATGTATATATGTAAGACAAATAATTTAATTTCAACTGCTTACTTTCTGCTATAACAACTCACTAAACACTTTTTCACTTGATTAGTATGTATGTATGTATATACAAGTATCTTGCAACTTTACATATGTATGTATGTATGTATGTATAAACACTTGTTTCTTCCACTTGACTCCACAAAAGAATAACTCGTACAGGTAGACAAATATACCGACAAAGAAGTGAAAAATGTTAACGCAGTCAGTTTATTTGTTGTGCAACTTAAATACCAACAATTAATTATACATCTCTTCTCTTCCGCTTTTTTCTCGTATTTTGTCGGTCAAGTAAAGCAAAAAAAAAAAGGAACGTCACTGAATTTTCGGCACACGTCTCATTTGCGTTTCTATTTGTATTTTGTGTGATTAACTAAAACCGTCCTACTTTACAATTATTCCTTTCGGAGCATACTTTTCTTCGACGAATTTCTTTCTAACAATTTAGAATTGATTTGAGTCAAGTGCATTACAAGCTATTCATTGTTTTACACATCACTTCATTGAAATTAATTAAGAAAATATTTTTGCTTCACTCTTCCGTGTTCTGCGTTGCCGTAGTATTGTGCAAGGCTTTCGGCAGACAGATTTGCTTTTGCCCTATCAAGCAAAGAGTTGTCTGGCAGCACTAGAAGAAGAAAAGGAAATGTGCGAAATACGGATACTAGCCACCTAGCGACACCTATCAAACGTCAACGCCAAATGCGATGCACACTACAACTGAAGAGAAAAATTCCGTTGCGTTCGTTCATATATGAGAGAATATGAGAGCTGCCAGATGAAATGCTAAATTTATTTTGATTTAAATTGGTTTAGTAATGTAGAAAAAGGTGGAAATTTTTTGTTGTACTAGTTAAGGATAGTTAAGGAAATTGTCTAAACCAAATTGCCCTCCCTTAAATTTAATGCGAGCGAAATTGAACATAAAATGTTGTGAAGTATTTTATTAGGGCTTTAGTTTTTGTTAAATCTGGCAACATCGATGCATTCTTATCACTTTATTGGTGTGTTCGTCAACCTGATAATTATTTGAAATTATTATTATTACTAAAGTTTTGGCGGTCGCGAAAAACTTGCTAAGTAGGAGAAATTGGAAACGCAAAGCCTGAAACATGTGTGACATGGGTGGGATAGCTATCGATGTTTGATCGTGTAAACGCTTAAAAACCGCTCGATATACGTGTTTGCTGTTTAAAAAAAAAATTTAATTTTCCCAGTTTTCACACATCTTGAATTGTGTATACCCCAGCAATACAGTTTATGAAATTGACCAAATTGGTTTTGACGGGTTTTAAGTTTAACATAACAGAACTCCAAATGTTTGGATAAAAACAACATTTCGATCAGCTGTAGCTTAAAGTTTGCAAGTTTTGCGAATTATGCGTTCGCGTTCTTTTATAAAATGTTTGTTATTTGAGAGATAATCATTCGTAACATCCTGTAAGTTGCTACTGGATAATTATTAATGAAAATCTATTCGAACATACCAAATGACAAAACAATGGATTTGTTCGAACAGGTTTCGAGTAATAATTATCCATCAGAAATGTATTGGAGGACAAGGAACGATTCTCTTTTATTAAGAGACAAATACCCAAAGTTATCGAAAAAAGTATGCAAGGCACGAAATTGCTTACGTAGTTTTTTCCTGAAACAGTTCGCCAAGGAAATCGATAAAATAGTACATATTAAGGATGTAAATATTTGGGAGATGTGTTCGTTGATTTAAACTTAAAGACCACGAGCCCACTTTCCCTTTCTACATAAGTTGTATGCAGATGATTTTGATAAGCTATTTTCTACCGCCGAACTCGCTTCGTAGTGTTTAAAACAAAAATCATAAATTTGTGTTAAACATCCACAAATGAAGTTTTGTTAGTTGCATTACGCAAGACTGTTTTCCTCTTGTCTATCGCCGATAGCAAAACAGCTGATCTTTGTTTTCAAGAAATACTCTAAAAAAAAAGAGGAAGCGTATAGGTATGCTTATATCTCTGCCTAATTTCTGGCACCGGCAGCAATGTTAAAAAAAGCACCGGAGTTTTCTTGGCGAACTATACAAAACCCTGCCTCCAGGGGCAATAGAAAATTCACTTCCGGTTGACTGAGTCGTAGCCCACTACACCGTCTGGTCATGTGGTACAGGTTTAATGCAAATCCTATCATGTGTTAGACCCAATTAACCTGTTAGTACACCAACGAGATGCTTGGATACTTCACTCTGAAGAGAAAAAGTAACCAAAGCGCTCTACATTGGAATTTGTATTGCTGTTACGCTAATTTTTCTATGATTCAATTCGATATGTACACACATATGTACATGTTATCTTGAGCCTCTTACATCCCTCACCTAACGACATTGTCAAAAATGAATTTAACGCGATCATTTTGTCAGTCAAAGATAGTTTTGGAAGATGGGTAAGTTCGATAGCAAACACACTTTCGATTTATGACTTTAAGTGCGTACATGACCATACCAGCATACACACATACGTATGAACTCCTAAACTCCTCAAAAACTTTTTGAGTTGCTGGCCTGAAAATTTTTCATAACGAAGCGTACGTAGTAACTCCAAACGGCGATTTTTTTCTAATCTAGTATATTATCAGGTAGCGATATGCCATTCGCGTACATTATTTTATGACAGCAATAAATTTGTGTTTATCAACAAAAGGTTAAAAAGCTGAAAGAATAAACTTTCTATGATAATGTTTGTATTTCTACATATTTTTCCGCATCCAGGCACCAGGATTTGTAAAATTTATGTATTTTATACTAGAATATAATGGGCAACAAAACTGCATACTCAATAAATAATCTGATTAAAAAGTTGGAAATTCGCATGAAAATTTCCTGAATTTTCGCGTGTTTTGCACAAAGTTTAGAAATTATATTTTTATGTTTTTTGTTGTAGAATGAACCATATTTTCTAAAAAAAAATCGGAAAAATAAAAATTTGTTGCATATATTGAAAAAAGCAGCCGTGCCAATACTTTTTGCCGGCAGTGTACATAATATGGATGTATTTAGCATATACACCGACCAGCAGAGAAACGTACTTTTTGCCACACAGTGAAGTTTTCGACATTTTTCGTATCCGCGAACGTTAATAAAACGATTTCCGTGTTTGTAATCATATTATTTCAAAATCAATCGAATTCTTCGAGAATGAGTCGGATTGCGAATCAAGGCGTTAAATTCTGGAATGCACCCTGATATAGTAACGACGCGTAGCTAGTGTGCTGACGACCGAAAACGGAATTGGAAAACAGATGAAACATGGGGTTACAGGAAGCAATTGAACTAATTACTTCTGAGAAAACGTACAAAACATTATAAATAAATGGCAATTATTCTTCTTGCAATAACTGAGTTATTCGATTCATTTAGAAATTATGAATACTTTAAAGTTAAGTCACTCGAGTAATCAAGATTTTGATTAACCAATAACTAAAATATTTGAGTATTCGTAAAAAAGAAATTAAGCGTATTTGAAAGCACTCTTTTAACGAGCAAAACTCCTTATTTTGACTATATCACATTTTAAGTAACTCGATTAATCTTCGTTTTGTGTAAACAACATCTTGATTACTCGAGTAATTGATTAACCGAACAACTGATTAACCAACTTCCGCGAATAATCGCACAGCCCTGAGATAAATTTTAAAGTATGGTCGCTTTGTTTAGGTTTTACAGACTTCGCACTTACTTGCTGCATATAGATAATATTCATTAAACAAGGTCTACCTAGAAGAATTAAATAATCTTCCCTATTGTTTATTGAAACTAGTTCGTTGTTTAAGTCTTTTGTTTTCCTGCACTAAATTTGGGAAAATCTGCATACATATATACATCATCGCATACAATCGCATACGTATATAAATCAAATACTTTTAAACTAAATTAAGCTTAAGCTTAGTATCCAGCTCTTAAGGAAACGGTCAAGAAAAAATTACCATTATTTCGCGTGTGTGTCCAAGGAATTTTGAATTTTTTATACCTCACAGCCTGTTGCCTCACTCTTTCCTCAAGAAATAATGGAGCGGGCATATATTTCTGTTGCAAACCTGGGTTGCCTTGTGCTCTTTTTTCACAAAAAACTTTAGAAAACCGAGTAGAAAGCGTACTAAATTTCTGAAGAACTGCGTACTGCCTTAAGGAAATTTGACTCAAGAAAATTTCTTAGCCATTTCTTGTACGTCATTTTATATGGAGTTTTTGCTTTTCTTAAGAGCTGGATACTAAGCTTTAGTCAAAACCTAAAAGAAATCGTTCTACTTTTTTTAAAGAAACTTCTTCTAGCTATTTTTGATTCCAATGAGCATGTTGTTGTTGTTGTTGTAGCGGCTACAACAACCCCGCCCAGATCGGTTGGTATCTCAGTCGTTGTCGTCAAGTTCCACTAACGGCAGCCCTAGGAAACGTGCAGCTTCTATTGGGTTGGTCCACAAGGACAAAGCCGTTAGGGTTGTCAGGGTTTCCGGGCATCGATTTGCCCTGCTTCTTGACCATTTTTTTTTTTGTTTTGTTCATTTAAGAACTTTCACTGTAGAAAAAACGAACAAAAAAACCCAAAAGTTTTAAAACAGTCAAAAATCTCGCCCAGTTTGTGAGTTATTTATTTTAATATTTTATACAAAGATACTACTTGTAACATTTAAGTCGTTAACAAGAAACATTCACATGCATACATACATATTAAAAATGTAAAATCCACAATACAATATTTTCAAAACGATTTCAAACTTTTTAGTTTAATGAATTACAAACGCATCTGCCAAATCTATTTATTTGCAGCAATAACATTTTATTTTTAATATTTTATATTTCGCTTCAAAATTGTGCTTACTGGCAATGTTTTTAGCTTGTTTAACATGTTCGTCACAACTGTTTTTGCAAATGGAATTCGGCAAAAAAAAGTTCGCGGTCAGAATTCCACTCTTCTTTATTGCATGTATGTAGGTATGTTAATACAAACATACAAATTTTAAACTTAATTTACAATTTTTTTTTTGTAAAAAATAAAATGAATGTTGCTCAAAATGCAAATAATTTTACTTTGAGAACTCGATGTGGAACCAATAATTTGTGTAGAACACTAATGTAAAAACAATTCGTTGCATTTATGCAGTTGAGGTAAATACTGATTAGGGATGATACACGAAACATGAAAAATCAGTATTTATAACATTAACGACACTAAAATGTGCTTAAATCTGTAGTGTTTCGTTATTAGTTTTTGATTTAAGTTTTTACTCTTGGAGGAAGCATTAATTGTTTTAGTAGAAGTTAAACCTATTTTAAAAAAGATCCAACAATTCATACAGACTACTTGAGCTGAATGAAGCACATCAGTTTTCCGTTTTAAAGATATTTTTTTTAGAAACCAAATAAACGTTTTCATGCTTGTTGATTCACCAATTGCACATAATTAGCTGGGAAGAGGCCATATCGGTTCTTGCACAAACCGCGCCACCAGCCTTCGTCGATCTAAAATGCCAAGTGTTGGTTATAAACTATTTTTAACTTTTTACATTTTATTTATCTTACCATTTCAATATGGGTAATAGTGTCATCCGGATCAAAGGATATTTCATCGTCGTCAGCGGCTTGGTAATCATACAATGCGATTGCATGAATACCCGTGTCTTCGATGTAGTCAGCCAAATTATCGGAATTGGCATAAATTGCTTCTTCATTAGTTAGATCCGGAGCTGCTGTGGTAGTAGCGGCATTATTGTCAATTGTCGTTGCGTATTCTACTTCTTTCTTTGCTTTTGCTGCCCCTTGCTCTTCTATTTGCGGATTTTGTTGCTGTTGGTTCTGCTCGACGTTCTCTCTATTGCCATAAACTGGCTCTTGAGGTGGTACTTCTGGTGACGATAATTGTGGTGGTGTTATTGCACTATGTATTTCAATTGATGGTATAACATCGGGTGGGGGTGCTGTCGTGGTGACATTTTTCTGCGTACTATTAAAGTTCGGTTGAATTTCTTGTTTCTCTTCCACATGCTTTGATTCTTGAATCGGTTTAGCTTTTGGAATGGTTATGGGTTCTTTGCGTACAGCTGGAGCGCTTTCTGTAGTGGGAGATTGCATTTGATTGAATGCACTAATTGCATTGCTGATTCCGCCTTCCCGACCCGTCGAAATCGAGGATCGACTGCCCTTTGGCGGAGGTGCTCGTGCTTCTTCAGCTGCTGGAAGTGGCGTATTTTCAATTACAGTTCGCTTAGCTGCCTCCTCACGATCACGGCGGTCTTTTTCACCGCGCAATCGCTTTTGTTCCTCAGCTCTCTTCCGTGTTTCTTCTTCAGAATTTTTGGCGAAGTTTTCAAATTTAGCACGTAAGTTTGATGGCTTAGCTCCTTCGATATTCGGTTTCACTTTAGTGTATGTTGTTCCAATCTGATGTTTTTCGTTATCATTGAAACCAGCAGCAGATTTATCCATACGATCCTTTTGTATGCCAAATTTACCTCCGAAACCCTTGAATGCAAGAAAGAAATGTATTAATACTAGTTAAAAAACTTTGTTGCACTTTGAGCTAACTTACAACTTTGTGATCTATTTGACTTTCATGCTTTTGTGGTTCCTCTTTATGATCCCAGCCCATGGCTGATTTGTCCTTGCGATCCTCTTGTATGCCAAATTTGCCGCCGAAGCCTTTTGAGTAATCTTTAATGAAAATAAAAACGATAAAGCAAAACATAATATTATATTCTCTAAATTAATTTTACCTTTCTGTGACTCGTGCTTTTCAACCTTTTCAACATGATCCCAGCCCACAGCCGATTTGTCTACTCTATCGGATTGTACACCAAATTTTCCTCCGAAACCGGTCGCATAGTCTTTCTGTGAGGCATGTTTTTCTACTTTTTCGATATGATCCCACCCCGCTGCTGACTTGTCCACGCGATCTTTCTGCACGCCAAACTTTCCGCCAAATCCTTCGCTATAGTCTTTTTGTGACGCGTGTTTTTCCACAGTTGCACGATAATCGTGTCCGACCGCTGACTTATCCATTCGATCTGTTTGAACTCCGAATTTTCCACCATAGCCATATCCGGGATTTTGCTCCTCTATATCTTTTTTCTTCTTGTCTTTATCAGCTTTTTCAGTTTCATAACGCAATTTATCCATACTATATATTGTGCATGAATAGATGATTCATTAAAATATTCCGATTAGCGTACGAATTAAATGAGTAATCAAATACAACTTACTCAATGGCGCCGGCTGTTCGTCCGCTTCCCTCAACCGTTTTCGATCCCCATCGCTGCTCTTGTTCACTGACATCGTTTACAAAATCTGGATCTGTTTCCCAATCGTCATCTTCTTCCGGTTGAGTATTCTGAAGTTGCAGACCTGCTGTGGCTTTCCACATTTTCTAATATTTCGAGTGTAAGAGAAGTGGGCAATGGATTAGTCACTGCGGTAATCGTCTATCACTTAACGATATGAATGAAAAATCAAGATAAGGTTACAAACTTGTTCCATATTCTTTATCTATAGGGAGTGGTCAGCCGGTTTCAGTTTTCAGTAGGTTGTTACTGATAATGGCTTCCGATGTTTATTTACTTACGGGAATTTGTTTTCCTTTTTTCCAAGCTTTTCCCGTATGCTTTAAACGATTTTAACTGCAATTACGTATCGATTTCTATTGTATATAAAAATATTTTCCTATCAGAATGAATCAGTTTTGTAAATGTAGCAAATGCTTCTTCTTCCTTTGAAACTTAGTTACCATAGATCACTCATTGATGAAAAACTAGGCTGAAATGGAATTTTGAGCATTGAAACACAAGTGAGGGCCTCCCAAGAATCATTATTACCGGCCGTCTTCACATACTTGGAAATCTATCTTGCGTACTGCTTTTTTCTCTCGCAAACGATAGAGTTTTGTTGACTGGGCATTTGACAGCATACTGTTTCATTTGTGAAATATCGCCAGAAAAGAAGGTTCGAGCTTTTCAGGCCAAATTTGTATTTTCGACGATGTTTCTACTCTGAAAAAGTCTGCGAAACGAGAAAATACCTGTCAAACAACAAAAATGATAGTTGAAAGCATGCGCAAACCGCGTCTTAACGCATGCGAGATTTTCCAGCACGTGAAGACTGCCGGTTACATAAATAAAAGCACGTAAATGCAAAGAACATAAATGTACTTCAACGTTCTTTGCCGCCATGAAAACAAAAAAACAACGAGTGTCTTTTACGAATACGGATGTTGAAACGGACGCGACTTCTCATATCAACCTTTCAGACTTCACTCGCTGACTTCAGCGTGTTGTCGCTTCTAATACATTTACTTTCTTTGTATGAGAGCCCCTATTATAAATTAGCGCTTCGTTGAACTCACTCAGCCGATAAACTTTCGATATCACCGCCATATTGAAAAATCGGAGCGGAACGGAACACACTTCCGTCGCACGAAGTCAATACTCGGCCATTTCTTTCCGTGCGGTTCTTTAACATGACTGGTTTGTCGAATAGGGTAAGTGGTGGTTCTTCACACAAAAAATGGCGTCAAAATGTTTCGGGAACCTAAGAAAAAACTTGGAAATTGTTCCTTACTAAGTGATCTTTCCGCTGATATTAAAATTATTTGGAAAAAGCGTAAACAAGTGCTAAAAAGTGAACTTAAAAGTCGTTTGCGAAACGAAATTTACACGTGCCTCAGTCCATATAGGAACAATTTTGACATTTGTAGTCTTGGGTGTGAAAAAACTACAAGGAAATATACGTAATAAATAATTCCTTAATATAAAGGCTGTTATTAATCGTGCTCGCCCTATTAAGTCGTTAAAATAAACAAGTTTTGGTTGTGTGCCTCAATCTGCATTTTGTTGTCATCGTTTTTTTACTTAACCTCATTTTTAAGATCATTCATTAATTTTGCAATATTTTGTACATTTATAGGCCGTTGTTATTGATGGTCGTGGCCATCTGGTTGGCCGTTTGGCCTCTGTTATTGCAAAATACCTGCTGCAAGGTGGTAAAGTAGCTGTTGTGCGTTGTGAAGAGTTAAACCTCTCTGGGCACTTCTATAGGAACAAAATCAAGTACTTAGCTTACTTGCGTAAACGCTGCAACGTGAATCCTGCTCGTGGTCCATATCACTTCCGTGCTCCATCACGCATTTTCTATAAAGCTGTGCGAGGTAAGACTAATTTTGATGATGTTTTAACTATTTTTCTATGATGACCTTGTTTTACCTTACCTACATTATTTGAATATAAAATATGTAACAACTATTATTTAGCTGATACTTATATATACTATAAGCTTTATTTTCGAAATATTTTATATACCTAATAAGTTTTTCTTGCTTTTTCAGGTATGTTACAAAATCATGTATACTGTGCGAACTCACTAGGGTGCAAATTATATGATGAACAATACATCTTACCTACATTATTTGAAGCAGACATGTAACAAATTCTAAAACTGAAATATTTCTTATAAACAGATTTGTTAGGCAGGTATTAGCTTTTTGATAATTATAAACTATTTCTTTCTAGGTATGATTCCACACAAAACCAAGCGTGGTCAGGCTGCTCTTGCCCGCCTTCGTGTTTTCGATGGTATCCCACCCCCATACGACAAGCGTCGTCGTGTCTGCGTACCTATTGCCATGCGTATCCTGACATTGCGTTCTGACCGTAAATACTGCCAGGTTGGACGCCTGTCACATGAAGTCGGTTGGCATTACCAAGATGTCGTTAAGAGCTTGGAAAGGAAGCGTAAGGCTAAATTGCGCGTCACTCTAAAGCACAACAGAATTATGAAGAAACTGACGGTTAAGGCGCGCGAAAACATTGCGAAGGTGGCCGAACCATTCAACAAAATTATCAAATCCTACGGATACGAAGTTTAAATTTGTATCGCGATTTACTTGTTTAAAATGGTTAGACTTCATTTTTTTTAAATAAAAAGAATAACAAATAAGAAATGTACCTAGTTAAATTTGTTCTGTTTTAGTTATGGTATTTGTGGTAAGCCGGATCCATCAAAAATATACTAGCCAGTTTTAAGATCTACTAAGACGTAATGCTGGAGGTTCAGTGTGATATGAAATATTCAGCCCTATCGCTAATCCATCTAAATAAATAGTTCCCATAATTTAATATACAAAATAAAAGCCAATTGAGAAAATTTTTTTTTGTTTTGCTTTATGATTTTTGGGAATATTTGTTCATGTGATAAAATTCGCGATAGGGCAGATTGTTTATCAACGCAACGGTTCAAAATGGGCACAGGCATATATACCCAACAGACACTAAGGTTACAGAGCGATTGGAAAAACATTCGAAATCTAATAAGACCGATTCTGAACAGAAACTCCCTGGGAGTCTTCTCTCTTCCCTTTCCTCCTATGATGAATAAAAATTTCCTGATGATTTTTTATATTTATATTTATATTAGCGGAGTTGAGCTCTCAAAAAAGTGTCAAACAGCTTTTTCGAAGTTCGAATTTCCTAAGTTTTCGGGGAAAATACTACTCGCTGAGAGTTAATTATTGGAGGATTTCTTTCTGGGGGGAAACAAATTCCCGGAGAACAAACTCCTCGGGAGTATTAAGAATTGAGTTGAATATGTTTCTCTAAGGTTAGAAGCCGATTAGAGAAACTCGAGAATTATAGCAATCTCTACAAAAAGGGGAATTAGTTCTCGATATCGAGAAAAAGGTTAGATATCTAATCGTGTTCAGACGTTGAATTCCAATTGGTTTCAAATGTGTTTTTTTAATCATTCTCATATCGAATTCAAACCTCTTGGAATCGTAGGGGTCGTGGTGAAGCAACTGGTCACGTAAAAATTAATATGCATTTTTATGTGACGAGCTCGTTCACGACCTTTATGATTCGAGCCCTAATTTCCGATTTGAGAATTACATTAGAATTCTAATTTAAAATCAAAAAGTTTCTCTAACGTTAGGGACTATGTTTTCTGGGTAGCAATCCACATACGTTTTCCTGATACCTACAGACTTGGAGGATAATAGAGAAGAAAATGCCTGTATGTGCATATGTGAAATACATTTCAGAAGCGAAATCGGTGATGAATTTCAACTTTACTAGTCTTCGTTCCTTACTTCTTTTAATCATGTTTCAGCTTTATAGAATGCCATATCTTCGATTTTTATGTGTATGTATTAGGGAGTACCTAATCATATCAAAGGATAATAAATGCATTTATGTATGTAGTTTGACTCAAGTATCATATTAAATATGTTGTTTTATTGTTGGGTAAAGGATCTTTAAACATTATTTTATTTTAATTCATATATATACATGTGTACATATTTATATAAATTTAATCACATACTGTTATCACCCTTAGCCTTCGAACAAACATGAGTTGTATAAAAACGTGATGGTTTAAATAACATTTTTTTGCAATTTTCGTTTATTTCCTTATCTAGGACACATTGCGTGCCGACCACCATCTACGGGCATATTCATTCCGGTGGTAAATGTGGCCAGGTCGCTGGCCAAAAAACAAATAGCATTAGCCACTTCCTCTACGTCGCCAGCTCGTCCAAGTGCATGGGTGACTTTACAATGTTCCAGGAATTTCTCATACACCTCATCATGCATGCCCCCACGTTTATGCAGATTGGTGACTACAACACCTGGATTAACTGCGTTACAACGGACTCCTTTTGGGGCAAGTTCCAATGCAACGCAGCGTGTAAACTGATCGATTGCCGATTTTGAAATGTTGTAAGCCAATACATTAGGGAAGGCGCGTAGACCACAAACGCTGGAAATATTAACGATATTGCCTTTTGTTTTAATAAGCTCCGGCACAGCAAGCATTGTGAGCTGATACACAGAGCGCAAATTCATGTTCATGATCCTGTCGAACTGCTCTAGGCTGGTATTCTCTATGGAACCGTTTTCAATGATGCCAGCATTGTTTACCAATACATCAAGTTGTCCAAACTTATTCGAAACGTCAGTTATGATGTTTGGTACCGCCTTCTCATCCGACAAATCAGTTTTTATGAGCAGCGGCGTGGTTGATCCTTGAGCGCCGGCTGCCTTTAGACACTTTTCTCCTGTTGCCTTAAGATTCTCCACATTTCGTGCAACCAATACCAATTTAGCACCCAACTTGGCGAATTTGACTGCTGTAGCGGCACCAATGCCGGAGCTGGCACCTGTGATAAGCACAACTTTACCCTTGAAATCCATAGTCTCGTTTGAGGTACAAACCTGCGGAACACAGTAGTAGTTAGAGTAAGTTGTGAAATATTTTTTATCAGGTAATACCAAATGCTTTAAACAGTTCTAGTCATCAAAAAGCACTTGAACGCTGGAAAGGGGCAATATCAAACACAAAATCATAAATGACATCAGTGATGTCAATCATGCGAAATAATTAAGCCTCCGTATGTCCTATTCGGTAGGAGGGATTTCAATTGGAAGAACAATAAATTATAAAAAACGAGATTAAACTAATTTTGGGAATGTATCCAAACTTCTAGAATTAACATTAAATGTTTTGTTCAAGCAAAATTCCAATGCTTATCTCAAATTTGTTGGCCACTTTATACTAACGCATTTCAAGTACAATAAAATATAAATCAGAACACAATAAAAAATACGATTTATCAATGTGCAGTGCTTTTCCTACTGGGAAGTTAAATGTATGAATACACATACGGTGGCTACAAAAAGGAAACGAAACAAAGGTTGCAAACAGGTTGCAAATCCGCAGGGTGCGTTTGATGATTAGTTTTTTTTGCCATTCGTTAATAAAAAAAAAAGAAAAAAGTTTTTGATTATGCATCCCCGAACGCCTCTTTTTGCAGTTTGCTTATAATCAGTTTTATATTTTTAATTTTCAAAACAATTAATTGGAACTTGGAGTAGGCAATTTAATAGCCCATTAAATTTTAGTATAATTTACTGAGATCGACTCTTTTTTTATTTGATCGCAAAGCTCAATATAAAATAAGTTAATTGTAAAAACAAATATTTTTAAAGCAAGCTTCCTAAATATGAACGAAATCGGACCATAAATACCGGTTTACCAAATATATCGACTTGTGCGCCACCTATCGGCAAAATTTTTAGTGGAGTTATTCCTTTTCATCTTCCGCTATGGCAGGCTCCTTGCCGTTAGTGCGGGGGCTTAGCCGACCAGTCCTTATCAGCGGATGGCAATGCAATCGCTTCTTTATCTCTGTATATTGGGCGAGCATTAACCAATTAGAACAGATCTGACCGGTTGAGAAACAGCCATTTGTAATAGCAATTGAGAAAAAAGTGTGTGACGTTCGTAATTTTGAAGTTGTTATTTCTGTTTTGCATCTTTCTTTATGTGTATTTTGTCGGTGGTTTATTTCACCGATTTTCAATAAATTTTTTGTGCAAATGTAATTAATATAAAGTGCGCGGTGATTGGTTGCAAAAACACGTATAAAATAATAAATTTATTGGCACAAACATGTGCTGCAAAGTTGCTTGCATTTTTTTCTTTATGCTTCGTCTTCATATTCTTTGTTTACTTTTCAAAGAAAATAACATGGCGCCGAAATTACAAACGTCAGCCAGAAAATTACTTTTTTCTTTTGCTTCATCTTGTCAGATCTTGTGTAGTTGGATCATGTTGGGCGAGTGCACTCCTTTCCCTTGGTTCGGGCTGCTCGTGTACGATGACCATGAACTGCCAATCCCCTAATCCAGGGTGTTAAGTTAAACCGTCCCCATTGGAGGGTTTGAAGTCAGGGGGTTTACCAGACCGGCTGTATTATAACGGCACCTTCCTGATACCAGGCCGCCTAAGGTGTAACGGTGGCCTTGCCGCGGCATGGGGCGCTGCCGTGGTGGACCGTTAATTTTCCCTTATACTATTTAGACCACCGCGCCCACCTCGTCGGGCAGGTGGTCGTTCGAACTATATGAATACAACAAAAACCAAAACATTAAAGAAAAAACTAAACCTCGAGCAGCGGACGATCGTCGGTGCCGGCATCCAAAGCTGTCTTTACATCGGTTGGGGGTCATCAAGAGACGAAGGCATCTCCGGCTAAGGGCACGAGTGGGGCCTGCACGGCCTGCGCCGCACAGTGTTTCGACTATATTGAGGCAGGTGGAAATAATAGTACACCTGCACCGATTTCACTGAAACTTGTCATGTGCTCTAGTTAGGGAATTATGAAATTTGGTAAAGATGGAATAATTACCACGCCTTCTACTCTTGTAGGCGAAAACATTAAATTTCATCCGATTTCGATGAAATTTAGTTTGTACTCTCTTTTATTAGGAAAACCTAAATGTAAAATATGGGAAGATTGGATCACTATAACGTCCAAACTCAAAAAAAATGTGGGCCCAGTCATTAAATGTGATGAAATTTTGGTTAATTTTTAACCGACTTCCAAAAAAGGGGGAGGTTATCAGTTCGTCGGATTTTTTTTTTATGTATGTTACCGCATAACTTTGGACCACGTCAACCGATTTCGATTAAATGCATCGGAAAGGTAGTGCCTCAGAGGTGGTCCCATACTAATCTGGTAAAGATCCGATCAGTGGATCATGATATATATATATATATATTTTTTTTATATGAGAATTGAAGTCGGTTTTTTTTGGTAAAAATTGCTTGTTGTTTTCCACTCTCAGAATACAAAGGTTATACTGTAAAATGACTTAGGTGTAAATACTCGCTTTTTTCCCAATGTTTGGTGAGATTTTTTCATTGTTCGAAAAATTCTTTTCGCGAAATTATGCAAAAAGAAGCTGAAAATCAAAAATTAAGAAAATCAAAAATTACACATATTTGCAAAGTCGCGCGCAAAGATCAAATTATATGATGTATTATGGAACGAATTTCCGTCATCCCTTGTCAAATTTGGTTTGGAGACAAACCGGTTTCGGCGTTGTGCCATCTTCAGTGTCATTTTTCGTTCTGCATAATTTTTGTTGGTTGCTCGTATTTATACTCCTTGTTAACTACCTCTTTCTTTTGTTAGGTACGTCTTTTTAGTTTTGCAGTGTTTGCGGTACTCAATAGGTAGATGAATTGTTTTGGCTCGTTTTTGACGGCAGGTAGAAGTCCGTGATTTTTACCCCCTTTGTTTTTGCAGTCGGTGTATTCCCTTCCATATCTGTCCTTAATATTTTCTTGTTGTCATTCTTCTTCTTGTACAGTAGTTTT